TTTTTTTTTTTACTTATTTATTTTTAGTTCTTTTAAGGTTCTTGTTACGAGGAAATGGAGTTAGTAGGGATGGAAAAATATGGTCAGTGGAGGTGGAAAAAATGAGATAATGATGATAGCAAGTAATGATGATAGTCGATGCTGTTGTAATTGTAGCTCAACGATGGTGACTATTTTGAGGCTCATAAGTCTAGGCATACGAAGTTTTTTTCATGAGAGGGTTATGGGTTCGAAATTGAGGTTGATTGGATTGTAGAAGACATATTTTTTTGTTAACCTCAATCTCATAATAACATTGCAACTAGCGTCGCCTCATTTCCTCCACCTCCACCTCCACTGACTCCATATTCTCCATTCCCATCGCCATCAACGTTTTTTTCCTCCCAACAAGGATTGAAAATAAACAAATAAAGATAAATAATTTTTTTTTCTTTTCGAAACCAAAAGTAGCGACGGTGGTAGTGGTAGAAGTTCCCCTACACACCAATGGATTGGATTGAGTTGTGTTAGAGGTTAGACCTTGATGTTGGGGGTTGTGTGGATCGAAAAAGATAAATATTTTTGTGAACCGACAGATATTTGGATGAAAACCGTAATGTGTTCTTTCAACGCATACTTTTAAAGATTTAGGACTTTTGTTGCAAATGTTTTAATAATTTGGCACCTAATGCATATTATATATTTTTTAATTAATAAAAGGCTAAAAAAACTATTTTCCCATTTTCAAAATTGGTCAAATTATAATCAAACGTTAACTTTTGATTAGCTAGCAAATTTTTTGATGAAAACCGTCCAAAAGTCCCTCCATCATAAAAGTTTGGAAAGTTTGAGATCTGCTCTATTACATGGCTGCTTGATAGAATTTATTTGTGAATAATGAGTTATTGAATAACAGTTTCGAAGAATATATGATTTTATTAGGTACAATTTTTTTTTGGGTAATCCTAAAAGTTTTGAAAGTATTTATCCTTAAAATATTTTGAACAATACATAGAGGGTCAATGCAATTTAGACTCGCCATTTTCAGTGCAATCTCCTCTATAATTTATGGCTATTAAGCAATAATCAAATATAAATAAATTGTTATTATTGGGGAAAAAAAAAACTGTTTAATGATAATCCATCCAAGGTTTTGTACTGGTCACGTTTTCCTTCCGTCTCAGGTGCTTCTTCCCTTCACGCCCAGGACCCACACCCCACTCCACCCCACCCCAACCCACGGGCATGTATGAACACCTATAGATACATGTATATAAACACTTGTATACATAGAAGTAATATGCTAAAGTATCAAGTCGTTTTTGCTTAATTTTTGCAGAGTAGATCAATCACAATTAATCATCCCAAAAATTAGAAATCTTTTATAATCTGTTGCAATGAGGAAAAGGGCCCGACACACAGCACCCAGGGTTAGTCATTTTACTCTAATTTACATCGATAAAATTGATTTTTCAATCATCATTTTTGTGGTTCTCTGTTAATTTTTCTGTTGTTATATGGATAAATTTGTCTGTATAATTCAGTATTACATATCGTGATATATTAACTGAAGAGACCGTAGTATATTATATAAAATTGATACCCACTTTTATTAGTAGATAAAACTGTTGGTCCTTATGTTCATGGTTGTAATTTTATTGTTATTATTTTTTTTGGTGATGAAGGAGGAATGTAATTCCGAAGGTTATATTAGTTCTTTGCCGGATGATATTCTTGTTTCAATAATATCACGTTTACCGCTTAAGGAAGCTGCAATTACTAGCAATGTATCTAAGCGGTGGAGGTACTTGTGGACACATTTAGCTACATTAGATTTTAATGCCAATGACACATTGGATAGAATAGCTGCAAATCCCAAACTGCGTAGCTCTGAGAGGCCAAAATACATTAATTGGGTGAACCGAGTCGTGAGGCAGCATAGCGGGTCCACAATGAATGCATTCCGGATTTGTTTTGATTTGGACAAGAGTTCTAAGTCTGCAATCGATAATTGGGTTAAGTTTTCAATTTCGATGAGGGTTCAGAAGCTTGAGTTGGATTTGTTGGAAAATGGGGAAACCCTTCGCCAGCCTTCTCGCAACTATGTTTTCCCGCACAAGCTTTTGAGCCAATGTAAAGGGTCTTCACTGAAGCACGTCTGTACAAGTTTTCCTGTAATGCAGCCTGGTGCATTAAGTGGGTTGAAGTATCTTAAAACATTGTCTTTGAAATGCGTGAATGTGAGTGAAGAAGCATTCGAGTATTTTCTGTCCAATTGTCTAGTTCTTCAATCTCTATCAATACACGGCTCGGGGGATTTGGTGAATGTGAAAGTTAGCGGCTCAAAGCTTAAGTTGAAGTACCTAGAGATTGTGTTTTGTTTGGGCTTAGAATCTATTGAGATCTCTAATGTGAACCTTGTCTCGTTCAGTTATTTGGGGCCTGGGATCAATTTGGTTATTGAAAAAGTTGCAATGCTCAACGAGATCTCCATTGGTGAGGGGTATTCTGGGTTGGAAAATAATGTTTTTGGCCAGCTTTCTTGCTGTCTGTATCAGTTAGAGGTTCTTACGTTGGACATATATCGTCCCGAGGTAAGTAAATTAGCCATGTTCTTTTCTTGTCATTAGTTTATACTGGATACATAATCTTGCTTACCTTGGTTCTCATTTTTCAGGAAAACATAAAGGTTTTTGCTTTCCCTAAGTTACCCAACTTGAAGCAATTAATATTAAAAGTTGGAGCATGGGACGACGATAGTCTTCTTGAGTTCAGTTCCCTAATACAGGCCTGCCCTTATTTGCAAAGATTTGTGTTGCAGGTGTGTTCTAACCTTGCATTTGGAATGCCTCCTGGTTTAATAGTCCCTATATGTCTATCATCAAGCACTATTATTCAAAAAGAAATCTGGTTTTACGTTAGTTGTTAATTGAGTGCCAAAAAATGACAGTTCCATTAATACGAATCTCTGATTTAGCAAGTTGATCAATACTTCCTTCTATAGTATTAAATTTTTAATGATTTGAAGAAAAATAAGAAATAACTTCTCAATGACTTCTTGTTCTTCATATGCATATCTCATACCTAAATTATGCGAAATGCTACTGTACTGAAACGGCTAAAGTGTCCAACTTCGCTAGAGTGAGATTGTGAGTACCAAACAGTTTCAATTTTAAGAAACTGAACATGGCTACTCTAGATCTATGTCAATTAAATACTACTACCGTTTCCAACCAGGTGCCATCCTCATCGATAAATCCCAAGTTACTAATGAGATACACAGTCTGAAGGAAAATGCTTGTGCTGTATCATTTTTGATTGGACTATCAATACCTATTTTGTCAGTTCTGTTACTTTCTCGACATGGGATATATTTGTGTTCTGTGGTCTATATTCTTGGGTTATGTACTAAAGTTTATTTAGAGTTCTTGTTATTTGGAACTGGAGTTTAGTGAAGAAAGATTGCTTGATAATGTTGGCAAAGAACCCTCATGATGTTTTCCATGATCAGTATTTGCTTACTGAAGAAATAAAATTAATTATTCAGATTATTTGCAGGCTAATAAACAGAGTGTGGGAGACACCTACATTGAGATGAGAGTCTACTTGTGTTGGGAATGTCATGCTTTCTGACAGGCATTGTTCAGTATGAGAAACTCTAACACAACTCGAATGCGGAAGATAAAAGAAAATATTTTCCAACTTTATTGGTCTTGGGGATGTATATTTGTAACATATTAGGTATCTTTATTGGGTCTGAAATGTCTATAATAATAATTTTTTTTTATAACCATGGGTGTCCGGACCAGCTTACGTGCACCTCGACTAATCCCACGAGGCCTTAAAATTTACAGCCCACTCACCTCAGTGGCCCTGAAGGGCTGTTTATAATAATAATAATAATAATAATAATAATAACTCTTTCATGTTTGACTTCGGATATGGTAATAGTACTCACACTTAGCAGTCTAGAAATACTTTTAATGATTAAATTGAGTAAATTACATTTGGTTCTCTTTGTGTCTTTTAGTTCAGCTTGATATTTACTGGGGGTTTTCTCTGAGAGAATTGTTGTTGGTTTTTCATCTCAACTTAGAGAGAATGAAGAAAATTTCTGAGAGTGCGTTTTGTTTGTCATTTTGAGACCATTTTCAGTTTTCAGTTTTTGAAAAAGCTCAAAACACGTTTGTTATGTTATTTTCAAAAATATGATTTTGAAAACAAGGAAAATTTTATAATACAAAACTGAAAGCCTTTTTTGATGTTTTGAGTGTTTTCATTAAAACACTCAAAAAATTCAAAAGAAGGAAAATGAGCCTAAAAATTTTCCATATTAAAATAATCAATAAAATCATACAAAACTTACCCAAATACAAATACCCTTCTCCCTCTTTCTCTCTCTCTCTCTCTCGTCCTATGCTCATTCAAAATGTACTAAAATTATTTCTAAAGTTTTTAAACCAAATGCGTTTTCTAATTTTTTTGTTTTGAGAAACAATTTTTCAGAATGACAAACCAAACACTTTTTCTGTAACCTTAAAATAATCCCTCAAAACAGAAAATAGAAAATGAATTCAAAACTGAATGCAGAAAACAGAAATACAACAAACGCACCCTAAATGTTTCATAAAACAAGTTAATGTTTTCCATCAGCAAGCCATCAAGTTCAGTAAAATTTTCTATTCAGCACCCTTGCAACAAGAAATAAAGGAAATTGCATTTAATTATTAAAATGCAGATATTTTGTAGAATAAGCATTGTATTAAATTGGTTATTGAATTAATTAATCTAGAAATTGTCCTTGTGTATAGCCTATTCAGCTGTCTATGTTTTGAAATTATAGTTCAGAGAGGTTAATGAGAGCAGAAAGATCCAGAAATTTGTCAATGATTGTAACTGCTATTCTCCTTCGTCTTGTTTTATTCTTTGAGTTAGATTCAAATGCTTTGGCTAACTCGATATTATATGCGACCAATTTGAGAGCTTCTGGGCTCTAGTTTCTTTATTTATAATTGAACAATAACAAGATCTTCTTGTCTTGCACAATTTGGAGTTGGAATCATATGTTCTGACCTATCCTTCTTGCAGTTGATATGGATGTCGCCCTCGAAGAGGAGAAGAAAAATAAGGCAGGCTGCAAAATTTCCACTTGAGTACCTGAAAATGGTAGAGATTGCTGGCTATTATGGTCGTACTAGTGATGCTGAACTTGCCATGTACTTTATCGAGAATGCTGTTTCCCTCCAGAAAATCGTTATAGATCCACGCAACCAAATTTTGGACCGAACTCCTGTAAGGATTGCTCAAATGAAAAAGGAGGAATCTGCTCGGAAACGTGCCAAACAGCAGCTTGAACCAAAAAAGCCTCCAGGAGTACAGTTAATTATTCTTTAACAGTATGGTTCATGCAACTCCTCTGGGATTTAGAATTGCATATATGGTTCATTATGCTCTCTATATACCTATACATATTCTATATACTTAATTTCAATTTCTAGGATTTGTTGTTGGCATTCCATAGCTGCTATTTGTTTAATTTACTTCTAGTATGGAGTTCATACTGATCTGTCTACTGCAAAGTTTTGCAGATTACTTGTGTCGAATTTGGACAGTACAATTTTGTTTTAATGTATACTTTGTATTTCAGATTTCTGGCCTATTACTGTAGCAGGCCTTTGCCCACAGTAAGTTTGATAAACACTTTCCATTGCTGACGTGGCAAGAGAACCTTACTTATGGCTCTCTGAGTTGGTGGGAGATCAATTTCAATTACTGCAGTTAGAACTATTGCATATTTGAAATGAAGGAAAAACATTCTATTGTGTTGTTTATGGGTCAACCTTTATTTATCGATGAATTGCTATGGTGACTCAATTATTTTGTTAAATTTAGTAGGATTGAAGTTTAGAACTAGAAGAATTTATGTTTTGAAATTTTGATCTTCGTTTAGTTGACTACTTATTTCATAGATGCTATGCTTTAGATTTTGTAGTAGATGTAGCTGCAAAATCGAACATAGTGTTTGCTGTTATTGCTATTTGATAGACTGTCATCTAGATCGAGTATATGTACAATATAATTATAGTAATTGAAAATTACAAATTGAGCATAACTGTTATATGCCTTCGCAATTGTTCCTATGATAATAATGTACATATCAATTGAATAATGCTATATAGCACTAGTGGTACTAGAGCATTAGTTTATGTAGCATTATGTGATATGTTCAATTAAGAGTAAAATTATGTGATTAATTTAATTGTGTCTTTTATTGAATGACATTTAGAGTGCGTTTGATTGTCAATATTTTTAATGAAAAATGTTATTTTTTCACTCAAATTTTTACTTTTATATTGTTTGATTGATATTTTTTTTCCATAGAAGACATTTTCATACTTTTGGTCACATGATCATATTTTCTTTGAAAACACGGAATTTTTTTTTAGGGAGAATATGTTTTTATTTTTCAAGGTAATTATCTCTTTTTCTCTCATCTCTCTCTCATTAACCAACCAATACAAAATGAACAAGTATTATATTTTCTATGTTGAAAATTAAAATAGTTAGACACATTTAATTGATAATTTTCATGCAAATAAGTTGTAGGCAATTTAATTGTCTAGATTTTTTTTTTCTTTACTTGTAAATTTCGTATTTGTAATTAAATACATTCTTAGTGCTATCTAGATTGGTATTGTCACACCAGTGATGTTAAATAATAATACTCTATAAATTTGATCAGCAAAATTTGAGGAATCCTTCTCGCAAGTTCCAACCACCCCCACACTAACACGGGACGTGGAGAAGTAGGAGGTAAAATCAAGCGCACACGCAAATATCAAAGTTAAAACCCAAAGAATTCCACTTAAGAGACGAGAAGAAACCATAATCAAAAGGCTTAAAATTCAAATAAAAGTTCACCTGCTGGGAATAAGATTAGAGCCTCAAACCTATTTTACCAATACTAGATAAAATATAACTTGATTACATAACTATCAAACATGGGAAATGAATTGATTTAGTCTTGTAAATTTAAATAACCACTTTACTAAGAAAGACTCGTTTTAAATTATAAAAAACATATTAAAAATCTTAAATGACGAGCCGCTTGTTTCATTTGAACACATACGGCAATGATTTAAGAGATAAATTTCATATCAAATACAAATGAATACACATACAAGCACGCATAATTCGATTTGATTAAAATTCAACCGAGCTGAATGATTTCAAAATTGATATGCTCAAAAGAGCTATCATCTCAACGATCTATGTGAAGTTTAAATCCCATATGGAATAAAATGAACATATAAACTAACTAAAAAGGATTTATGTGAATTCTTTTATCAATACTGATATTTTAAGATCATTAAAGTAATATGATTTGTTGCTTAATGAAAAGAAAATAAAAGTTTTTTGTTTTTGCTTTTGTTTTTGTCTCTATAGTTGACAACTTTTATGAGTATTTAAATATATACCGATGATAAATAAAATTCGTTGTATTTGTGAAATTTTAAAAACTAGACCATGTTATTCATAGTTAGCATTTTTCAGTCCATGAGTCAAATGATTCCCCTTTTTTTGGACTCGATGGATTGATTCGATACTTGTTGATTCAGTGTGCAAATCGATCTGAGTGAGTACAGTGGACCATGCAACAAGTAATCCAGTCATTAACATGTTAAATTGAGTGGTTTAGTAAAAAATGCTGACTCGCTAAACCATCGGATTACATGGTTTCGTTATATCTATAAGTTATGTGGCATGTGTGTGGTGGAGAGGATCCCACATATATCGATTCGACATTGATTATTCAATTGAATTGGACCTATTAAATCAAGCAATCTTGTCTTAAGATTGGACCCAGTCCATTAGTTCCAATTGACCCATTTCCATTGCTTTATATATATGTGACTCCACTTCACATTCAAGGTAATTAAATGATTCTAACCCTAACCAAACATTCTCACCATCTCTTGCACTCACTATATCTCGTGCAACCGTTGTTTTGATTGTCGAAGTGCAATGGTCATCGAACCCTTTTCTCGACCAAAAGCTTTTGCACTCTAATAGGATGTGTCAGTGCACTGGCGATGCTTATGTGAAGGAAAGATGATCGGAATTATACGACAGTTTTGTCTTTAATAAAATATATTATCGACAGCACTGAAAACCAACTTACATGCGTTTCAGAGTCGGCATTGAAAATTTTAAGGATATAGACAGACATTAGGAACTGAAATAGAAATGAAATCATAACACATATAGTGGCTCCTAGATTTATTAGACACGGAACGAAAAAATAAAAAGAAAGAAAGAAAGAAAAGAAAAGAAAAGAAACAAAGACTATTATTCTATACTAAAATTACAAGAAGCAGGCGCTGGTTTCTAATTGTCAAAGGCTGGCGTCATTCTCCCTAAACTTCTTGATAAGTGTGTTTTTACACACTTATTTAATATCTGAATATGTTATTAAGCCCTTGTTTTAACAATATTATTGGAATAAAAATAAATGTTTGAATAGTATATTGATGGATAATGTATGGTTAAAAAATAAAGAAAAGTTTTGGATTTACATGTAATGTTATTTTATTAAAAAATGTGTGATTAAAATGATGTCAAATCACTGTTGGAAAATGTATTTTTTTTTCAAATAATGTGGCTTGTTTGAGCCACATTACTTGAAAAAAATACATTTTGTAAGTAAATGAATGAAATTCCACTCACAATTATATAATATTTGCTTTTGTAAGTAAAAAATCATACAAAGGAAATAGAACCAAGCCAAATGAGAAAAAATGGAGTGAAAAGGGACCAAAGTGTGCAAAATTGTGAAATGGGGACCAAGGCAAACAATTCAAAAGTTGAAGGACCTTTGGATGCAATTTATGGAGGGCAAAATTGTTATAAAAGTCAAAATCTAAGGACCAAATTGTACAAGATCAAAGTTGAGGGACATGGAGTACAATTATCCTAGGGACTTAGCTGCAAATTGATCAAAATCCTTTTTTTTTTTTTTTTGTCAACCATTCTACATGTACACTTTTTTCACAGCACACACATGTAAGAGAGTGGGTCCACGATTAAAATAATCGCGGACCCCACCTTTGTGAGGGAGTATGAAAATTGATGTAAAATAAGTGATGTACAAATAGCATTTTTGTTTTTTTTTTTTAGTTGGCTGGACAGAGACTTTGGCTCTGCAGTGCCACAGTTTCGACGCTGTAGCGCCAGTTTTAATTAAAAAGAAAGTGGGGACCTTTTTATTAACTTTGAGTGCACGGACCTTTTTTCTTTGTAATTTCTTAGTGTATTTGAAGCAAAATCTAGAGCACAAATGAGATTCAATTAAGGAGTGGCGAAATATGTGAGAAAATCAAGTTCAAGCGTAAAAAAAGGGTTTTATCTTTAAATCTTGCATTTTCTCGATTATTTTGCCATATTTGTAATATATTGTATGAATATTCTCCTTTGCTATCATATATATATATATATATAAAATGGTCCTTGATTAATTTTAATATTAAAATAAGCAACTTACTTGAACGGTATTTGAGTGAACACTTCTCTCTGTATCCCCCAACTACGGAGTTTGAGTTGCAGTTGAACAGCAGCTGCCAGAAAACTTATTCCTTGAGTTGGGTCCGGAGTCTCCAATAGCTTTACTACAATTCTCTTTCTTAGAAAATCAGCAACCTCAATAAGAACCTCCACGGACAGCTTTAGCCTCTTGACAGTTGACTCCATGTTTTTTAACACCCCGTTCTCCACCTTATCGAGGTGCTCCGCCATCGACACCACCTCATGCAAAAACTAATAGTATAAGAAATTTGAGAAAATTATAGTCACTACCATTCGCTGTGGAACATTAGTGTGCTCATCTGTAAGTTCATTTTCTTCCTCTTTAATCTTCTCCATCAATGCATTTATCCTCTGAGATTGATCTTCAGTGAAGTCCAACACATTGCTAATCACAAGACGGAAAGCTAGCCCTGGTTTAAACCTGCCTATCTAGAGAAAGACGCGTTTAAAGGATTTGAACCAAGTCGGTATGAGAACAAGAAATGCATCCTTACGCGAAATTCTTGCTTTGGCTTCAAAGTATTGACGATAGTGAGCCAAGACATGGTCTATAAGCTCCTCGCTTTGTGCCACGTTTTCTTCAGTATTACCATTGTTGATGCTGCTGCATTGTATCATTTAAAGGAGGACTTTAAGTTAATGCTCTTGACGGATCAACCTAATTTCGTCGAAGGTCTCAAACAATTGAGCATTATCAATTTATCATTAGTTTCGAGTTCTCTCATGGCATAAACCATGGAAGAAGCTCAAACTTTTCAGACCTCGTGGCTTTTCTTGATAATAGGATTAACCTTCTTATATAGTACACTTCTTGCTTAAGGATTAAGAATTAAGATTAGCTTCAGTGGCTCCAAATCTTTTAGCAAAGAGCAAGGGACAACATGAAATTTTTTTCTTGGTTTTGAAGTAATAGCTGTTAGAATTTGTGTGTGACCCGAATTCCTTGTTGAAATAATTATAGAGTTCTAATTGAAGTGCATATCAAGAAAAATTCTAATTGGAATGCTATTGTGAAATCATATTCAAGTTTAATCGTCAAATCTAGTTAAAATTTATATTTCGAAGCCCTATTGTGTAACACCTGGAACTTTACGTTACACATTTGACCAATATGATTTATGCATTTCATGCTATTTACAATATCATTTGCATCAATTATCCTAATTGCTATCTCTGAAAATGGTACGCTAGAATTATTGATGTTTTAAAGATCTTTATATAATGTTAGTATTCGACTCCATGA